AGGCTTTGCCCTCGCCGCGAGGCCACCTCGGGATCGAGTCATGGAGGCTGCACTGCTGGCGGCGTGGCTGCTCCTGGCGGCCGCGGCCCGTGCGCAGCGGGAGCAGGACTTCTATGACTTCAAGGCTGTCAACATCCGGGGCAAGTTGGTGTCGCTGGAGAAGTACCGCGGGTCGGTGAGTGTCCGCCCGGGGGCCTCCCCCGGCGGGGCCTGATGGGGGCGCCCGGCGGCCCTGCGTCCTGCGGGGTGTGGCTCCGAGGGGCCTAGGGCTGCCCCGCGTCCCTGCCCCGGCTCCCAGCCCCCACCCCGCTATCCGCCAGGGCCCCGGGCGCCCCCGATCCCGCTCAGGGTCTGTTCTGCTACGTGGCAAGGCCCTGGCGCACAGTGAAACCTGAGACTCGCGGAGCAGGCGCTGGTTTCCCTGACGCCGACTTTGGACAGCGGGTCCGGACCTCTCCCAGAGGCTGGATGCGCGCCACCCGCCCCCAACCCCCCTCCAGCTCAGCCTCGGTCATGCAAGGGTGGAAAAAGTAACCCTAACACCCCACGGCCTTTGTCTCCGCCATCCCCAGTTCCGACGTCTGCAACTGGGAGAGCTGATTGTGTGTCCAGTGAGCACATTGTGGGAATGAATGTGCAGCGCAGAGGGAGTGCGCGGGTACCTTAGGCAGATCCTCCTCCAGGGAGGACACTGAGGCCAGAGAGGGAGATATATTTGTACGGGTCACACCGCGCCAGGAAAGCACACGGAGCCGGAGGAGAAAGCTTCATCCGCCCTTGGTCTACTCTCGGCAAACTCCTAAGATGGCAGCTCAGGGTGAAAGAAAGAACCATCCAAGCTAACTGCTACCTCCTTACCACGAGGGCATCTCAGCTCAGAGCGCCTTCAGAGAGGAAGTGCGTAGGGTGAGTTTGAGCAAGTTCAAGAAGAGCATTCCGAGCAGAGAACTGTCCATGTCAAGGCTCCAAAGCAAACAGCAAGAAGCGTGGAGGAGTGGTGTGACTTCCAGCAGTTGTGCTTAAAGCATGAGGCTGAGATGGTGGAAACGGGGCTGAAGAGCATGGGGAGGCACCCAGAGGGGCCTTGAACACTATATCCAGAGGCCTGGATGGTGCACTGTGTGGGATGAAGAGCCCTCCACTTCTCAAGGGAGGCTGTGGTGTGGGAAGGGTGGGGAGTTGGTCTCGAAGGCACAGGTGGACCCATTGTCCAGATTTGGACGGACCACACAAAAATGGCTGCCAGCATTCCTCTCCAGGAAGCAAGGCCGTCTTTAGTGAAGAAAGTACTCTCTAAGCCTTTAAATTCTAGGGCCAGTGATCCCAACATGTTGTGAGTTTCAAATGAGATGACAGTGTGGGAGCACTTGGTAGAGTGCTCTGTCCCTGTGTCTGGAGGGCCCCAGCAGGAGCTCCATCCAGAACTCAGAGCAAAGAGCCACAAGAAGAGCAGGGCCTGTTTCCATTCAGGCCTCTCCTTCCCTCTAGGGCAGCAGGACACAGAGCCCCAAGGTTCGTACTTGACCAGCTCTGCTACTCATTAATTCATTCTTTCTTATTGAGCACCTGCTGTATACTAAGTACTAGGCTAGCCCTGGGGATACAGTGGTGAACAAAACAGACAAGTTTCCACTTTAATAGAGTTTATATGAGGTAAAGAGGAGAGAGAAAATAAAAAGGGAACAGAAAAATGGTAATTCCTAGTCGTAATAAGTGCTATGACAAGAATAGAACAAAGTCTATTTGTCTTTAGAAATAATAAGGCATCCAGGATGTGAGGAACAGAAATTCTGGAGAGAAAAATGACTCAGAGAAGTAATCTCAGAATTCTGAGTGGTTTAATATCCTATCTAGGTCACTGGTAAATGCATGGGAGCGAGAGGCCAAGTAATCGATCAGAAAGAAATTGGAAGAAAAAGAGAGTCACACAGCTACTAAGGGACAGAATTAGAATTTGAACCCAGGCAGTCCAGCTCTAGAGCCCGTGCCCTTACTAGTACACGCCAGGTAGAGAGGCAATCAGCAACAGTCAGTCCAGGAAAGCTGTGAATGATGCTGCGTTAACCCCAAACTAGGTCTGCCACTTGGGCAATATGGTCATTTATTCAGTTGCAAATAGTTTTTAGCTCATTATGTATATTTCACCATAATTTTTTAATTGAAAAAAAATTACTGGCTCCCACTACATGCTTGGAACTGGGTCCAGCCCTGGAGATACAGCCATGAGCATGCCCTCAGGCTAATTGGGAAGACAGTCATTTAGACCAGCATTGAGTATGAATGAATGGGTAACCATTTGGGAATGTGCTTGACTGTAGTGTGAAGGTATGTACTTGTAGGCCTGAGTGGTGTGTGTGTGTGTGTGTGTGAATGGTTTGTTTGTTTGCTTGTGTATTTGAATGTGTCTGTTTGTGCCACTTTAAGGATAAGCTGCCGTCAATTTCTATTACAAAGGTTAGGGCGTTTCTTATCTCCATTCCAGGGAGTAAAGATTATGTAGCTTAACTACCCGCCTGGCACTTAATTAAGGGGTTGTATCCCTCCCTAACCTCAGGGAAAAATCCCCACCTGGGGAAACAACCTTTCTCGGAGAGGTGACCTTGGTTAAAACACATGGTGCTAAAGGGAGCAAACATATTAAGAACAGTATGCTATATATGCCAGGTCCCTTGAAACATATGCTGTGCAGATGTTTCTTTCCTGCAGCGACTGTGTCAAGCAGCAAGGATGGACCGGCTTCCGGCAATAAGCATTTTGATTTCAGACATGGAACTAGAAGCAGGATTTCCTTCCTTCCAAAAGAGTGGACAGAGACACATTATGCAGGTTTAAAATAAGCACTTTTTAAAAAAATTCTTTATTGATTCAAGTATAACATATGTCTCCTTTTTCCCCCATTGTCCTCTCCCCCGGCCACTCCCCACCCCTAACCACTCAGCACATGCCCTCACCCACCTAGTGTCTGTGTCCATTGGTTATGCTTATATGCATGCATATAAGTCCTTTGGTTGATCTCTACCCCTCCTCCCAGCCCTCCCCTGCCTTCCCTCTGAGGTTTGACGGTCTGTTTGATGCTTCTCTGTCTCTGGATCTATTTTTGTTCATCAGTTTATATTGTTCATTATATTCCACAAATGAGTGAGATCATGTGATTGTTATCTTTCTCTGACTGGCTTATTTCGCTTATCCTAATGCTCTCCAGGTCCATCCATGCTGTTTCAAATGGTGGGGTGTTCCTTCTTTTCTTACAGCAGTGTAGTATTCCATTGTGTAGATGTACCACAGGTTTTTAATCCATTCATCTGCTGATGGGCACTTAGGCTGTTTGCAAATCTTAGCTAGTGTAAATTGTGCTGCCAAGAACATAGGGGTGCATATATCCTTTCTGATTGGTGTTTCTTGGGATATATTCTTAGAAGTGGGATTACTGGGTCAAATGTGAGTTCTATTTTTAATTTTTTGAGGAAACTCCATACTGTTCTCCACATTGGTTGCACCAGTCTGCATTCCCACCAGCAGTGCACCAGGGTTCCTTTTTCTCCACATCCTCGCCAGCACTTGTCATTTGTTGATTTGTTGATGATAGCCATTCTGACAGGTGTGAGATGGTACCTCATTGTTGTTTGATTTGCATCTCTGGGATGATTAGTGACTTTGAGCATGTTTTTATATGTCTCTTGACCTTCTGTATATCCTCTTTCAGAAAGTGTCTATTTGGGTCCTTTGCCCATTTTTGATTGGATTATCTTCCATTTGTTAAGTTGTATGAGTTCCCTGTAAATTTTGGAGATTAAACCCTTATCGGAGATAACATTGACAAATGTTCTCCCATGCAGTGGGCTTTCTTGTTGTTTTGTTGATGGTTTCTTTTGCTGTGCAGAAGCTTTTTTAAAATAAGCACTTTTTAATACTTTCCATGCCCAGGGAATCCAGCAGAGAAGAAAGAGGAAGACCTCTGACTAGGGAAGGAAGTTAAGGATCCCAGTTTCTCACTACCACAGGCAGAATATCACAAATGCTGATGCTAATGGGGGAGGTTCTAAGAGCCTGTGGCCCCAGGGAATGGGTTGTTCCTCATAGAGGCAGGGTGAAGGAGTTACAGCTCAGTGATTCTCAACTGAGGTAATTTTGCTACCTAGGGGACATTTAGCAAAGTGTGGAAACATTTTTAATTGTCAACACTAACCATCTAACCCAGTTGGCGTGATTCAGTGGTTGAGCCTCAACCTATGAACCAGGAGGTCACGATTCAATTCCTAGTCAGGGCACATGCCCAGGTTTCAGGCTCGATCCCCAGTGCGGGGTGTGCAGGAGGCAACCGATCAATGATTCTCTCTCATCATTGATGTTTCTATCTCTCTCTCCCTCTCTCTCTGAAAAAAAAAAAAATACTGGACATCTAGTGGGTAAAGACCAGGGATACTGCTAAACATCCTAAAACGAACAGAATAGCACCTTCACAACAAAGAATGTCCAGTCCAAAATGTCTAACCTGAGCAGTTCATGCCTATGCATGTCCAATGCCCCAGGCTACTCCTGGGAGATTTCCCTCTTTATGGAGCCAGCTGGTATGATCCTGGCTCTTCTGAAAAGGTGGACAGAGAGATAGGGCTGGGAAGCCCAGACACAAGGTAAGATTTAAAATTGTTCAATAATATATCACTAAAAGCTAAGAACATAGCATTGGTGCCAGAATTCTAGTTGCAGCATTATAATCAGGTTCCATCAGCCAGCTTTAGATTTATCACATAAGGGTGCTAAATAGATGTATAAACAAATTTAATACATTTATATAAATCAGTTAATTTATTATAAAGCGATAATACATTTAAAAGTGAGTCTAGTGGTAGAAGAAAGTGGTATTTGTTTACTGGCGGGAAAGGGACAAAAGGGGATTGTCCTGGGGACCTTGGGTCCTTTTATCAAGAAAACCCACCTGCATTGGTGATTGTGTATGTATGAACATTTACTTATTCATTCAGCAGGCACTTTCTGAGACTTTTTCCATACGGCAGGCCCTGGAGTGAAGTGGACATGGCTCCTGCTCTCAGTATTCATGTTTTAAAAGGGAGATGACACATATACAGGCAACTACAGTGATGAGTGCTAGCTGACTGAGCCAGAAACTGAACCCAGGTCCACCTTTCTGCTCTCCCACATCACCTCTGGATGTGAGGTCCTCAGTGTGTATGTCTCTCTCTGATCGTGCTGTGTGTTTGTGGGCATGTGTGATGTGTGCTAATGTATCTTTGCATCATGGGGTGTATGCCTACCCATTTGTGAATATTGTGTGCTTATTCTCGTGAACGTTCATGTATGTGTATGCACCCATATCTGTAAGCTCTGCGTGTTTGATTTCATTTGTGCCTCTGTGCATGTGCTTGTGTATATGTGAGAACATTGCACTCACATTTACGTGTGTACGTTGTGTTCTTGCATGTACGAGAGAAAGAATTAACTGTAGGGGAGGAGTCACACAGGTGGGCGTGTCAGGAATGTACAAGCGCATGCCTCTTCATTGGGTTGTGCCTGTCTGTGTTTTGTTTTTGCCACAACAGGTGTCCCTGGTGGTGAACGTGGCCAGCGAGTGTGGCTTCACAGAGGAGCACTACCGGGCCCTGCAGCAGCTACAGCGGGACCTGGGGCCCCACCACTTCAATGTGCTCGCCTTCCCCTGCAACCAGTTTGGCCAACAGGAGCCCGACAGCAACAAGGAGATCGAGAGTTTTGCCCGCCGCACCTACAGCGTCTCCTTCCCCATGTTTAGCAAGGTCGCAGTGACTGGCACTGGTGCCCATCCAGCCTTCAAGTACCTGACCCGTGAGTCCTGATCCTTCCCCTAGCCTTCCCTCAGTTGGCTGAGGCCATGGCTCCCTGGGCAGCAGAAGCCACCGGCTGACTGGGTGACCTGGGGCCCTTTCCAGACCCCCCCAAATGGGTTGATGGTCTGTTCCAGCACTAATCTTTGAGGATGAGCTGAGGGGTATTCCTGCCTAAGAATATCTTCACCCTGCTACCTTTCACCGCCCCCACCCGCCAGCCACTCTGGCAGACATCTCTGGGATCCTGTTTTCATATGCAGGGCCTCAGATTTTAGCCAGTGTGAATTAGTTGGACTGAGGCTGGAGAAACTGAGGAGCAGACAGGGAAGGGATGCCGCAGGCCGGAGAAGGCTGACAGGCATTTCCTGTCCTGAGTCAGTCAGAATCTATTGGCCACGGGAGAGAAACCTGAGCTAAAATACCAGATCTCAGTATTTAGAAATAGATCCCTTCTCCAGCCCCAGAAGCCTCAAAGTTGCAAAATGGGGTCATGGGCCACGCTGGTCATTATGGTCCCGTTTCCTCCCTGGGGCCCCTCTCCTGGACTCCATCTTTGCCTTCTCCCACTCCCTGCTTCCGGTTGCCTTCTTATCCCTCCCCACCCCCTACCCACCCTTTCACCTGGAGAAGTCAATGAGAAACAACAGTGTAGCACACAAAAGGCCCCTTGCTGAGGCAGATTGGAATTTTGCTCTGTAGGTCAATCCTAATATTTACTTTTTCCCCCCTGTGTGTTTTTATTAGTTCCTTCCCAGTTTACCATAGTTATAGATCAAACCTGGCCCTGCTTTGGAAGCACCTGGGGAGCTCTTAAAAATGCATTAGCCTGAAACCTAATGAAGCAGAGCCCAAGAATCTGTTTATTTTATGCACCCCTCACCACCACCACCACGATTCAGATGCAACCAGTCCGTGAACATTTGGAAACCATTTAGATTTCATTAGAGAATAGGGTGTAGACTGTTCAGTAGTTTGAGATCATTAATAAAGGAAGAACTAATACTGCTTTATCAAACACTTCACAGAATCCTAGAGCAGTGGTTCCCAACTTTGGCACCACATTAGCATCTCCTGGGGAGCTTTTGAAAAATACTGATGCCTGAATCTAGAGATTCTGACTTAGATGGTTTAGGGAGGTGGACTGGGCATCAGGATTTTTAAAACCCTACAGTTAATTCTAATTAATAGAACCACTGCTTCAAGGGAAGAATGGACAATGATAGTGGAACTCCAGGAGAGGGTACACAGGGAAGCACACACTTTGCTCTCCTTCTTTGTTTTGTTCTAGAAACTTCTGGAAAGGAGCCCACTTGGAACTTCTGGAAGTACCTAGTGGCCCCAGATGGAAAGGTGGTAGGGGCTTGGGACCCAACCGTGTCGGTGGAGGAGATCAGACCCCAGATCACGGCACTTGTGAGGAAGCTCATCCTGAAGAAGCGCGAAGACTTATAACCACTTTCCCTCCTCTCCCACTGACCCTTCCTCCCTGCCCCCTCACCTTCCATGGGTTACCAAAGCAAATTCAAATGGTGCTTCAAAGGAAGAGACTATGACTCTCCTTCATCACACCCACCCCATCACTCCTGTGGGGGGAGAATTCTAGTATTTTGATCATTTGAATCTTCGATCAACCTATAGGAACTCCTAGCCCATGACAGCTCTTGACCAATGAATCACCAGCCAGTAAGAACTTCTAGTCCATGAAAACATGTGGCAAATAGAAGTATATCGAGCAATAATCTCCTGTCTATTAAGAACTCGATAAAACGGGGCCAATTCCTACCTCACAGGGCTGTTGTGAGGATTAATGAATGAGCTATGAATGTGCCTAGAGTAGTGACAGCTCAAGAGGAGGCATTTAATAAATGTTTTTTTGCATATAAACCAAAAAAATAACTTGTGATTAATGAAAACTTGCACCCAACATGAATTTCCAGCCAATGAGAATCCAAGCCAAACATTTATTTGTTGTTGTTTTCCTCTGTATTATTTTTTTAATTACAAAAGTAATTTAAATTCATTGTAGATAATGCAGGATGTCGTGATAAAATGAAAATGTACCCCTCATTTTCTATACTCTCACTCCCTGGAGGTAAACATTGTGAGTAATTTGGTACAAAGTCTTCCAAGCCTTTTTTTTCATCAAGCCAATCATTAGGACTCAATAGAATTCACTGACCGAAAGTACCTAAAACAACAGTCAAAAGATATGAATAGATAATTCACAGAATATAGATGGAGAATAAGGATATGAAAAGATAGCCAACTTCATTCAAGTTAGAAAGATTTTTTAAATGATCCTACCCATTGTTAAGGATGTAGGGAAATGGGAATTTATATAACTATTGTTGGGACAATAAACTGGCACAAGTTTTTGGAGGGTGATTTAGCATATCTTTTAAAACAAAGCGTTCATGGCTTAGTAGATAAAGCATTTGCCTGCAGACCAAAGGGTTCCGGGTTCGATTCTGGTCAAGGGCACGTACCTAGGTTGCAGGCTCCTCCCCTCCCCAGCCCAGACCCTGGTCAACGCTTGTGCAGGAGGCAACCCATTGATGTTTCTCTCTGTCTTTCCCTCTCTCTTCCACTCTGTCTAAAAAAAAAACAACGGAAAAATATCCTCAGATGAGAATGAACAACAAAAATAAAACCAAACAAACAAAAAAGAGTATTCATACCCTTTGATCCATTATTCATCCTTTTAGAAGACTCCCAAACTATGCAAATATATATGTACAATAATATGTTCGTAATAATGAAAATTGAATGTAACCCTTGTGCCCATCACAACTTATTACCAACCCATAAATTATGATACAAATCCAAATGATACAATAATATAGTTACTAAAATTAATGAATTAGATTTCTATATGCTATCATAAAAGTTGTCCAAAAGTGAAAAAAGGGCAAGTTGCAAAACAGAATGAACACATTCACACACACACACAAATCCAGTATAAAGTATAATATTTTTATTAAAAAATTACAATGTTAAGTGAGAGAAGGGGGGAGGAATATAGACCAAACTATTAACGGTGGTTGTCCATGAAAGGGTGAGTTGGAATAACAGGAGTCATTCACTTTCTTTGTTAAGTATTACTGTAATGTTTGAATTTTGAATATAAAATATATTTTTTACTTTTATAAAATACTAGGGGTCTAGTGCATGAATTCGTGCACCTTGAAAGGAACTGTGGGCCGCAAGGCTGCAATGGGCATAGGGGCAGGTCTCGGCTGATCCTCCGCTCCCCCGCCTGGCCCCTCCCGCCGTGGCCCCTGGTCCCCTGTCTGCCAGCAGCCCCGCTCCTGCCAGCCCTGCTTGCACCCGCTGATGGCGCGGAGTGATTGAGGCAGGCACCAGCAGCGGGTGCGAGCAGCGGCTCTGGCACCGGCAGTGGGTGCGAGCACCAGGCGGGACCGCGGCATGCGGGAGCAAAGAATTTTCAGTAACCACCAGAGGCTCACCCCGATGACAGGACCAGCACCCTGCCTTGGTCTGGTGCCCCTGCTCACCTGCACCACCATCCCGCCCTGGCCGACACCTCCCTTGTTCTGCGCTCTGCCACCTGCTGCCGATGCCTACCATGTTCCGTGCATGGGCGCTGGTGGACAGCGCTCATCATAGCGACTGGCTGTTCAGTTGATCAGTTGTTTGCCTGTTCCACTGTTCTGTCTATATGCAGATAGATAGATAGATGATAGATAGATAGATAGATAGATAGATAGATAGATAGATAGATAGATACAAAGAGGCAGCTAGAGATGGAGGTGATGGGCAAAGTCACTGATTGATAATTTATTGGAAAGTAAGAACTTCATGTCTACATCGCCCAGGGGTCCCTCTTCTAGAAGAAGCAGATTCAGATTCAGGTTCTGACTATGCCTTGACTCACATACTGAGCAAAATTGTTCCCTGTCTTCTGTCCTCAGTTTTCCCAATGGACAATGAAAGGTTTGAACTGTGCTTATAGTTCTCATAGTCTCCCCTAACAGTCCTCAAAAGCTGCCCTGAGTAAATGAAGGCTCTCTGAATTGACCATAAGCCCCTCTAAGGTGGCCTCCAGACTACCCTTACATACCCTGCTCTACGATCCAGCTCGGCATATACTCGTGTGGGTACACACACCGATGCAATGAAACCCAGTTATCAGACATTTTTGTGATGGACAACCTCAGAACCACATTCTCAATGAACATGTCTCTGACTTTATCCTTCCTGACCTCTCAGCCACATCTGACATTGCAGACTACATTCTTCTCCCTGACACATTCTCTTCCCTTGGTTTTCATGCCACTGTCATCTCTTGGTTTTCTCCCTCTCTCTGAGTGTTCCTTTCTTCTCAGTTTCAGTTCATGTTTCTTCCTCTGCCCTGTGCTTCCCTGTTGTTCTTCGTTGAGGTTCCAGGCTGGTCCCTTTTCTCCATACACTCTTCTGCACCCATCTCATTTTTTTCCCCCCATGGTTTTGACCACCATCTGTGCCTTGGACTCAAATCTCTACTTTGGACTGATATCAACCTGCCTACTGGGCATGTCTACAGACACCTCAATTCAACTTAACATACCTGGAACTAAACTCACCAGCTTTTCCTTCCACCCAGCCTTTGCAAACCCTCTAAGCCAGTGGTTCTCAACCTTGGCTGCACATTAGAATCACCTGGGAATCTTTTTAAAATCCTGATTTCTGGGCCTTATCCTCCGGAAAATTCTGTTTCTTTGTTACTAATGCTGTGGCCCCGCCCCATAACAAAGAAACAGAATTTCCGGAGGAGGAGGCCCAGAAATCAGGATTTTAAAAAGATTCCCAGGTGATTCTAATGTGCAGCCAAGGTTGAGAACCACTGCTCTAAGCCTTTCCTATTACACACCACTCAGCTCACTCACCACACTCTATTCTCATTGTTTCAGCAACTGCCTGTTTTCTCTCTTTAGCACAGTGCCTGGCCCTTAGCAAATTAAATGTAATTAGATGGCAAACATTTTGAGCAACAGCTCCATGGGGTCCCTGAACTAAACCCTATCTGAAAACCAAAGACAAACAATTTCTCCATAAGTTTAGAGTCCAGCTGAGGATTTTACAGTCTCAAGTAGACCTACATTCCTATAGGCTTTATCAGCTTTCTGCTGTTTCCAAATCCCCTCTAATGTGCAAGAATCCCCTAGGGAAAACCTCACTTTAAATCCTTTCCAACTATTACCTTAGTCATTGGTTAACCAGTATATGCTAAAAACTTAGTTTTAAATTAATCCCTCAGTTATCAGCCAGCACTTGAGTAGTTAATATGTGATTTTCTACTAACACTTTAATTATCTTCTAACACTTTACTTTTAAGCAAAATACTTTATTTATTAGGTTATATATTAGCACTCAGTAATGTGGACGAAAAAGGGCAGGTCATGCTGGGTAGTCATACCCCAGGCCTATAACTTCTTTAGTGAAAGGTTTTTAAGCAAACTGCCCATTGTTCTTGTGTATCGCAGTTAACACACCTTTGAAATGCGGAAGTAATACTCCTCAAAGGTGTAACCACACTTAAGAAAGCACATAATCTTGTAATCTAATCCCTTCCTTGCTTTCTACCTCCTTCATGTAATCTTACTTAAATTACCTCATTAATTCCAAATACATTTAAAAAACTGCAATCTGTTATATATGTTGTCAGTTTGGTTCAAATAAACTCATAAAAATTCTCTACAGGTTTGCACTTTTCTTACATCGACAGTAGTTTAGCTATTTGACAAGCCTTAATTATTAATCTATATTTTAGCTGTCTTCTTAAATCTCATTACCTATTCCTTAGCAATCTGCTAGTAGGTTAGGGTAGATTAGCAAGCCAGAGACCACCGGTTAGGAATTTGAAAAGGGTTCATTTCTGGCTGTGGATATGATAAGGGCCTTTGCTTTTGCTGAGCTCTCCTTCCGTGCCCCTTTCTCCCACCTTCCCAATGATTCATTCTCTTTCAACATCATTGATCCCAGGTCCTCAGAGAAAGGGAGGTTCCATATTCATCTCTTATTTACTTCTCTAATTTGGGCTAGAGAGTGGAGGGAGGAGAGTGTGACTATGAGGGAACTTCCTGGAAAAGTATGGTTGGAAGAAACATTCATTCATCAACAAGTATTTCTTGAGCTCTGCTATGTGTCAGGTTCTGCACTAGGTTTTAGGGATACATCAGTGAACAAAACACACGTTTCCAGCTGTCATGATGCTTAGAGAATAGTGGGGGAGACAAACATTAACCAAATAATTACACCAATTATTATAGAACTTGAGGCCCAATGCACGAATTCGTGCACCAGTGGGGTCCCTCTGCCTGGCCTGCAGGATTGGGCCGAAACGGGCTCTCCAACATCCCCTGAGGGGTCCAGGATTGTAAGAGGGCACAAGCCAGGCCAAGGGACCCCACTGGAGCACAATCAGGGCCAGAGAGAGATGTGGAGGTTGGCCAACCGCGGAGGGACCGTGGAGGGCTCAGGGTGTGTCCGGCCCATCTCACTCAGTCCTGATCAGCGACCCAGCAGCAGCTACCTACAGTTGAGCATCTGCCCCTGTGTCCCCTGGTGGTCAGTGCACGTCATAGCGACTGGTTGACCGGTCGACTGTCTGCCCCCTGGTGGTCAGTGCACGTCATAGCGAGCAGTTGAGCGGCCTTAGCATATCATTAGCATATTACGCTTTGATTGGTTGAAGGATGACCGGACTACCAGACACTTAGCATATTAGGCTTTTATTATATAGGATTACAAGTGCCAGGAAGAAATACAAGGAGCCATGAGCATGTTTAAAAGTGGCATGGAGCCTTAGCTGGTTTTGCTCAGTGGTTACAGCATCAGCCCAATGATCAAAAGGTCCCGGATTTGATTCTTGGTCAAAGGCACAT